GTATGATAACCCAGGTCTGAAACGTGTTCATCGTGCCCACCATCAAGCCAAAAATGTAATGCCTGGAGAGTATTATAATGTCTTAACAGGTCAAGATCAATATTTTTTTTGTTTGTATGTGGAACAAATGTTTTGAATAAACCATGCATAGCTTCTTTAACACCACAAGCAGTATTAATTAAAGTTCCATAATTCTTTGCATTCGTAACTAAATACATATTGGTATGAAGATTTGGAAGATAGAGAAAAGATTCTGGGAACGTCTAAGAATAGTGAAAAAATAATGACATATTAAAATATCAGGCCGCTTAGCCAAGAAAAATTCTCGAAAATCTCAGGCCTTCGATCCACAGTTAAAAATCCGTAATATATCAAAATCTTCAGGCCAGGATTTTCTTACATAAGAGCAGGGACATGAAAAATTCCCAAATAAATCTGAATTTTTCAATGATAATACTGTAATAACGATAGCATTAATTAGCTATATATTATTCACTAATGTTCACATTCCTAATTGACTTAGAATTATTGCAGTTTGCAAAATTAGATGATTTTTAATTTTCTTATTTCTTTTGACATAATACTGTATAAAAGATTAGCAAATAGCCTAATTTGTAGCTAAAACAAAATGTTATTTAAATTTCACAGAATTTTGCAAATCGCAATAATTTAAAGTCGTAATTAATCATGTGATATGATCAAAGTTATACTTAATTTCTGTGATGGATAAAATTCAAATTTTGAGTATTGTATAAATATAGGTAGATGTACATGCTGATTTTAAACAATACAATACCGATATGGCACATATATCCAGATTTATCATAATTATTCTGTCCCTGCATAAGAGTACTGGTGCAGGATCGATTTTCAGGTACTAATTAGCTGATGAAAATTCAAGTATAACACTTGTTTGCATTTGTGCGAATTAAAATTTTTTCCTCATGACTTATTAAATAATATCTCCTGTCCCAAAATTAAACAAGCCAATCATAAATAAATTGTTGGTAATCACGTGATGAAATGGACTATTGGATTTAATAGTACTCCATGTTTGTAAATATTCTAAGTTTCAAACTTATGACTATAAAATTGATCCTACGCACTGTCAGATTCAAAAAACATACTCATTAAATACCTTCATCAAAGAATCATGCTCTTTTTGCAATATATTGGACAGAGTTCCAAAATGATCATCAGAAAATGTGATTGCAAATAATTGTTTTATGGAAAGAGAAAGAGACACCCAACATTTTATAATCATATTGGTCACTTGATCTATACGTTGGTTCTCTGTTGCATCTACAAGGTAAGTAAGCATACTCCTTTGATATGTTGAATTTTTAAAAAGCGATTCAAAATGAAAGGCATTAGCATTGCAAGGTGAAAAGAATCTGACATCATGAAACTTCTCTGATGAGTAATAGGATTCGGTAATTTTGACCAAAACTTTGGCAGTTCAATCGATTTCTATATTTTTAAAAAAGCATTATTTCCTTCATCATTAAAAAGATTCAATGTACATTCCATCAGTTTTTTCACCTTTCTAGCCATTGCATGATAGAGATCTTGGGGGCTTTGTTGATGTCGGTCACGATACAGTCGATCCAAAATGTTCTTTCTTAAGCATAGACCATACATTTGAGCAACTCTTACTTTATTGGTTAAGTTTTCTTGCAACTGAATTTCGGA